AGGTTATATCACATTAACACAATCTTGAGAAAATACAATGTAATACTAACAAGTGTAGCCATGTCTTGGAAGTTGCATCCAGCTCTTCTCGTAATGTCTCCCAGGCGAAAGATGGGGCAGTAGGGGTATTGCTTCTCATCATATCTGCATTTCTTCAAGTAGGATTGATCAGTTGTTTTGAGGATGTTGGACCTCAGAGTTAAGAAAAACACATATTTATGGATGTGAACTGCTTATTGCACACAGCAATATCCAGCTAGTCAGCAAGTACAAGGAGATATTGTTGTAAATGTTAAAGAGGACTTACTTTGAAAATGAGAATTTAGGAAACTGGATGAAATTCTTGATGTAGATGGTGAAGTTTTCAGCATTTTTGAGCAAAGGCTTTCTGTGAAAACAAAATGTTAAGTAAATATAAATTTTTGTGAATAAATGTATAAGACAACAATAAAAACAAATCAAAGTCAAACCTTCCTGTAGCAGATAGAGAGGGATTGTGATTGAATTGCTGAGTGGGAAATGAACCCATCTATGACCCAGTGCTGTTTAATGTGAGCTGATACAATACTATTATAAGACTGGGTCATGAAGCTGAGTGTCTCAGTGTAGGACATCCTTAGTTTAGATTTAGTGCCAAACCTGTTGTGCTGACCCGATAAATGGCAACTACACATGATTTGCCTGAATGTTTGTGCATGTTAGTGCAGAGAGAAAGGAGGATTGGTCATTTCAAATTTGTCCTCACTGTGGTTTGATGTTTTTTTCAGTTGGACACCAGCCAAAGATTTCACAGGTCCCATTGGAGTTTTCATTGTTTCTTATGCATTTGCCGCTCATGACTCCTTTAGACAACAGACAAAAAAAAACCCCAAACCTGTTTAAAAACATCTAAATGATCATGTGAAAAGAGTTTCTGATTCAGACATGTTTCACAATACGGATTTAATATCAGGATGTTTCTTTCTCACCATGACCAGACTCCACCATCTTTCCCTTTTTACAGTCCTCGTCAACACTACAGTGGCCATTAAGCACTTTGTGGCTCTGAGAACAAAAAAAGGACAGAGGCAATGTAAAAA